CACTGATAGATACACAGCATAGATACTCTTGTTTATTCTTGTATACCGCAAGGATTAAACGGCCTTTATTACGCCATTTTCTGATGTTATAATATTGTTTCCTCATCACAAACAGATCTGGAGTTGTGTTTTGTTTCATTCACACATGTTTAACACACAAACCCTGCATATTTACGCTGAGTTCTTCTCTCCAATGGAAAACACGCCAAAGCCTTGTGGTGTCAGGAAGTGCTCCACTGTATTTTTAAAGTCCGCACACCTTCACTTGACTCATTTAAATCAATGGTCCCCAATCTTTTTTCTGCCATGGACCGGTTTTATGTACAACAATTCTCGTGGACTGGGCGGGGGATGAAGTGGAGTGTAAAAGTTAAACCCTGTTTTAGTCCTGGTTTTAGACGTGGTTTTTAGACCTGGTTTAGATCTGGTTTAGGCCTGGTTTAGGCCCTGGTTTTAGACCTGTTTTTTTTAGACCTGGTTTAGACCTGGTTTTAGACCTGGTTTTAGTTGGTTTTAGACCTGGTTTAACCTGGTTTAGACCTGGTTTAGACCTGGTTTAAGACCTGGTTTAGACCTGGTTTTAGACCTGGTTTAGACCTGGTTTTAGTCTTGGTTTTAGACTGTTTAGGATTTTAGTCCTGGTTTAGACCTGGTTTTAGTCCTGGTTTAGACCTGGTTTAGGCCTGGTTTTAGTCCTGGTTTAGACCTGTTTTATACCTGGTTTTAGTCCTGGTTTTAGACCTGGTTTTAGGTTCTGGTTTAGACCTGGTTTAGGACCTGGTTTAGACTTGGTTTTTTTAGTCCTGGTTTTAGACCTGGTTTTAGTCCTGGTTTTTAGTTCTGGTTTGGTTTCTGGTTTAGTCCTGGTTTAGTCCTGGTTTAGAGGTGCTGAAACACAGGAGGAGGCACAGAAACAGGAGGAGGAGGGGTTCATGCTTTCTTGGCCAAACGCCTAGTACTGGTCCATGGCCTGGGTGTTGGGGTCCCCTGATTTAGATAATTTCAGCCCTGGAATTGCTGAACTCTACTGAAAAAAAGGTCAAAGAAGCTGTTAATTTGAAAACTACCACTACATGACATCACAAGGTGGAGCATTTTGAGCTTTGGAGATGTAGACAGCATTACTCAAACATGTGAATGAAACAAAACATAACTTTGGGTTTGGTTTTTTGGAGGTAATGGCATTCCTGTGTGTATGTTTGGTCCAGTGGATGATTGAACATTCAGATGATTTGTATCTGATCCTCTGTGTGTCATCAACATTCCCTGGAGGTGTGACGCTAACTGGAGGCACTACTCTGTCAGAAGCTGTTACTCCAGTTATACTTTAATCTGAGCTTTATTCTGCACTGCAAATTTCTCTGATCTGGCCAAGATTTTAAAACTTTTATCAGGTTATTCATCTTGTTTTCAGATTTGTTATCTACACACTAGAGAGACTGCTTAATTCTAGTCTAGAGGCAGTTTATTTTAAGATAAGATGTCAAGTATAATTACAGATAATTACACTTCTTTCAAGTCATTTTCTGATAGATTTAAGTGTTTATATCTTAAAATTTGGCCAAGCTTTTTGGCAGTGTGACTAGAGTTGGTGAGATCATGTGTGCGCTTAAACAAGTCTCACACGAGTCTTAGAAAGCATTGTATTGATCAAGCATTTGAAAATGGGTTGCTTTCCACCAACACACATACATGTAGAACACCCCCACTGTAAAGTATCAATATTTGTTTATTTGTTTGTTTTATTTGTTTGTTTGTGTAGTTTATGATATTTTGGATTTCTATAACAAATAATGTAATGTCATTTTTTTTAAAAAAAATTTTATGTCTTTTACACTGTGGTGATTTTCTTACACTTTATTGTCCCTGTAATTACATTTGTGAAAGGGACAGGCTTGAATTTTGGTGTCATTGACTAGTGCATGTCAATGGTCATAGTTAGCCTGACACTGAAAACAGTCTTACCCACTCCACAAAACACCCGAAATCTATTATTACGCCAGACTGTCGATGTAAATGTCTGTGTTGATAGAATAATGTTTGAAATAAAACTAAACTTGCATCGCATGAATTGTCGCATGTTGAGGGACTGTTTTCTCAGCAGCAGCAGAATTTTACTTTGCCGGTAAGATAGGTGCTAGGTGATATAAGTGCACTGTTGCCAAGCTTTCTTTCAGGAAGTACAACTCCCTGTTGCTGCTCAGACATTTCTTTTTTCTTCTAAAATTATTCTATTGACACAGACATTCACATCGATAGTCTGGTGTTATAATAGATTTGCTTTGGGTGTTTTGTGGAGTGGGTAAGACTGTTTTTAGTGGCAGGATAACTATGGCCATTGACATGCACTAGTCTAGCACCAGTGACCTCTGTAAATACAAGGACGAGATGGAATATTTAAAAAAGTGTCTCCACACGTCTCCAACACTCTGGCTCACTAGGAAATGAGGTCCTATATCCAAAATTCTGGACTATCCCTTTGCTTTTCTTCAGTGCTGCTGGGTCAGCCTGTCAGGAGCAGTTCATCTCTGTGATCTTGTTGGTAGTCATCGCTGGAGGTTTTCACCTATAGCGCATGTTTTGGGTTGAGGGAGGAAACTGAAGTGCCCGGAGGAAACCCACCCACACAAAGGGAGAACATGCAAACTCCATAGAGAAAGATCTGGACAACTATTCGCAATACTATCCTCCCCCTCTGAACGAAACACAAAACTGCTCTTTGAACTTTAAATAATGATATGAATCACTCAAAACTAAGTCCTGACAAAGCCTGGATGGAAACAGGACCATATGTCTGTGAAATATTTAAATGAGCCACTTCACCAGAGGATACAGATTTATCTGAGAGAGACATCCTGTTTTAATTTTGTTGGCCGAATAAATAATACTACTGCATCTATACAGTAGGGCCCGACCGTTATGGATCTTTTTGTGGCCGATATGATACAGATAAAATGGAAGTTGGAGGTGCCAATAGCCGATATAAAAGATATATTTAGTGATGTAAAAATTCACTGTAAATCTTCAATTGATTATAAAAGTTAGGTGTGGGTCTACTGAATTTAAATTAGGTTTGGTTATCAGACATTTATTGTTATTCTGCCTCTTTACAGTCATATTTAAAGACAGTCGGCCTAATGGCATTTTTGCATGACAGTAAAGATAGTAAGTAAACTACTGCAGCCTTTAGCTGTAAATGTATGTGTGCTGCGATAATTAATTATATGCATAAATGCTGATCATTCAAACCTCTATTCACATCTCATTTACATATCAATTCAGGTCCAGTAACATGTATACAGACACTACAGTCACTTTACACTAGGCCAATGTAAGAGAAAACAGGCTGTTTATGTGTGGGAGCTACAGCAGCTAAGGGGGAAGAACCAAAAGTAGGTTCAAAACCGACACATTTGCAAAACACTCACCGCTCATACAGGCACCTCTCAGATCACAAGTCTTCACAAATAAGTTTGATAAAAACAAGCAGTAGTTTTGTTGCTGGACTAAACTGTGCTCAAGTTCACTTTTATTTATCATCAGTATCGTGGATCAGACACAAGAGCGTTTAAAGCAGCGCCTCAGTGTTGTGCATGTGAGTGATGTGACTCTGGGGGTGCGTTCAGGGGCAGTACAGCGTCACAGATACAGACAAATTACCCCTCAGATAAATATTGATGCAGTGCCACATATTAGGACATTTATCTTTGTGTAAATTGGATAAAATTAACATAATATAGAGAGTCTAAGCTTTATATCGAGGTATAACATGCCCACGTGAAATATCGGCCCATATCAGTAAGATTTAGGCTGACAGCCGATACGTTTCCAAGTGCCCATATCGGCTGATAATATCGGCCAATTGATATATCGGTCGGACCCTACTATACAGTATGTAAGTTGTTGTTGCAGCGCCAATCCAACATTAACTACAATGTAAAATAGCCGATATGTACAGAAATATTTATCAACATAGATCAGAAAATAGCGCAATATAGGCCCTTTAACTAAACTTTAACTGTAAAACAGCCGATATGCATACAAATATTAATCAAAAAAGAAAATATACACAATATACAAAGAAAAATTTGAACTACAACCTGATTTTGTGTTTGTGTAGTTTAGTCCAGTTTGTGGTAACCAAATAAAATACGCTTGCTAGGTGCTAACGCTCTCACAAATTGAATATAATGCGCGGCTGCTGTTAATTCCATTAGTGTTTTAGTTATGCATAAATCAAAAGTGCACTGATAGCCTGTTGAAATGTCCGTATTATTATTGGATCAGCTGGATGAACCTCTGCACTTGTATAATTGAATTTACAACAATAAAGAAATGCTTTTGGTGTAGAGTGTTTTCAGACAGCGCTGGGTCCCCTCCAGACCACACTGTGTTGGTTTATGTTGGACAGAGGATTCAGTGGAGAAACAGTCCCATTGAAACCCATGGAGTTTACTCTGTATAATCACTGAGGAGGTGCGGATATGACAATGAACTTTTGCTCTGTACAAATTGAAATAAATCCTGTTTGTAGAAGGAGGGAGCAATGTTATAGTTGATATAATGTCACAAAGTATTAATGTAATTTCTCTAGAAACAAATGTGAGCAGTTTATGTACAATAAATATTTACTATACTCTAAATCATACTATAATTGAGTTATTCACACAGTTTCACAACTTTCACAAACTCTGACTCTAAATCAGTTTCCTGTTCATAAAATATAGGTGACTTTATAGCTTACTGTTTTTTTTTTTTTTTATTGAGCAAATGGTTAATAAATACTGGACACTGAAGTAGTCGTACACATATTAGCAGTAGTTTTATTGGTTATAACTTGACCAGATGTCCCCATTTACCCAGTTTTGAGCCCTGTGTCCCCTGTCCCATCACATTTATACAAAACCAGTGATTTATACAAAACCAGTATCCCCATTTTTAACCAATTTGATCCAAACCAGGTCTAAACCAGGACTAAACTAAGACTAAACCAGGAGCCAGTTATTTGGCCTAACACATAAACTAAAATTGGAACAATAAAGAGAAGATTAGCATGGCTTCTGCACAAGGATGACACGCAAATTCATGAAGCTTACCTCAATGTTAGATAAGAGTTTGTATGCTTGACATTTTGTCTTGTGAGGTTGAGTTGTGATTGTTTCAAAAATGCCAACTATGTATTTTGTGTAAAAAAAAAAAAAAAAAAAGACTAGGACTACATCAACTCTAAACCAGGACTAAAACAGGACTACCATTTTTGACTAATCTGGTCCCTGCCAACAGTAAAGAGGATAAGAGTATCATAAATTATAATTTGTTTAGCCAAAATACAGAAATCCATGTTTGCGAATGACCATAAAAGCAAAAAAATAAATAAAAATGCAGCATTAGAGGTCCCTCAGATTATAACTGACACAAGAATGCACAGTGTTACGCTCTTTTCACAATTTTAATTTATACCAATCATCCCAAGTGTGTCCCAGTTTAGAATTTTGAAAACCTGCACTGCAAAAAACAAAATCTAGCTAAGTTGAGATGACTTGAATTCAGAAAGTTTTATGATTTGAAAGAATTTCACTAGACAAGTACAATGATCTGCCAGTGGGGTAAGACTTTTTGTACTTAAAATATGAAAATACATCTTGCTACACTTAAAATAAGAAAAACAACAACTTCCTGCACTCAAAATAAGAAACAAAATCAAGAATGAAGAAAAACACACTTATTCCATTGGTAGATAATTTTAATTGTCAAGTTGAATCTACTCAAATAAAGTCAAATGTTCTTAATTTAAGTCATTTTATTTAACTAGATAGTTTTTTTTTTATTTTTTTTTTTAGCAGTGTGATCACCCTATTATAACTATAATTGACCTTACATACATACATTTAGAACACCCCAACATGATGTCACTGCAAAGTATCAATAACATCTCCAGAGAGGGAAGCAGGGGGCATATACCGACTACCAGATAAGTTCTGCAGTGCATGTGTCTAGTTTGTCCACTTTATGCTCTGCCCTGACCATTAATAATAATAATAGTACTTACAAGGTCCACCAACTGAGACTTTGCAGCAGATGTCATTAATCTTCCCTGGGGTGAGCTTTATTTTAACACAATCTGAGTAAAAAGAGCTGGTTTAGTTGGAACTACAACAAGTGAGCTGATTTCTGCCGTTAAACAATTCTCTCACACGTAGTTATCATCAGCCAACAGTCACTCTCACCATTTTGTTGAAAATCAAACACCTAAAAAGAACCATGAAAGCTCATACTGATCATAAATGTGTGGTTTAAATCCATTTTGCATTTGCATTTTCAGATGATCTTAAAACCTTTTTTGTCAGTATTTATTTTAATGTGTACATTCACTGCAAAAACAAAATCTAGTCAAGTTAAGATGACTTGAATTAAGGAAGTTTTATCATGATTTGAGTAAATTTCACTTGACAAATAAAATGATAGGCCAACGGAACAAGACTTTTTGTACTTAAAATATGAAAACACATCTTGCTGCACTTAAAATAAGAAAAACAACAACTTTTTGCACTTTAAATAAGAAACAAAATTGGTAGATAATTTTACTTGTCAAGTTGAATTGACTCAAATTATGATAAAACTTTCTTAATTTACATAATCTTAACTTGAGTATATTTAGTTTTTTACACATTATAGCAAACACTGACAAAAAAGCTTTTACCAACATCTGAAAACTCAAAGGTAATATGTAAAATGTTCTTAATTTAAGTCATTTTAACTTAGCTGGGTATTCTTTTTTCCCAGTGTTGTATCGCTATGGTAACTGATGAACATTCCTCCACACACATACATGTAGAACACCCTTGGCATAATGTCACTGCAAAGTCAATATCACTAACGGCACTTTACTCTAGCACAAAACATCATCTTGCGTGGACTAGTGTGTGTCTATCTTCCACTCTAAGATCCCCCTCCACCGTAACAAGGGCCCCTTTGAGCTGTCCACGCCCGCCGACGGTGCACCTGTCCTGGGCTGTGGGAGAGCGAGCGCAGCCTGTGAAAGTGCAGACACACGCGGAGCTTAGCCACATTCCTGCGTCTAAACACACTCATGAATCAGGCTGACTCCGTCCCCCCCTCACCCGTGACCTCAAGGCGGATGGGACGAGACCAGGGGAGAGAGGTGTAGCAGCTCAAACTATGTGCCCACTTGCATAGTACAGGCTTTGTGAGAGGTTTATCTGTGTGGAGAGGGAAGGAGATAGAGGAGAAACATGTGTGAAGTGGTCAGGTTGGGTAGATAACTGGAACAAAGGCAATCAACTAAATCGATTTTGCATTTACTCAATTCAAGTTTTTTATTGCTCAACTTTGATAAACATGTTTTTTGGGAAGGAGATAGAGAAGAAACATGTCTGAAATGGTTAGGTACAAGTAGATACTGGGATGTAACAATAACCAAAATATCATGATATTGCATCGTCAAAGTTCTTACAATATCATGGACCATCACAATATATCGAATTACAAGTCTCTTTGCTTAAATTAAGACAGAGGGAACTACATTGACCATGATCCTTTGCTTAATTTCAGTGTAGACAAGAAGAAATAACAGTTCTAAGCACTTTTAAGTTCTTTGGATTAAGTTTTGTCAGGGCATTTTTAAAAGAAAAAGTAGCATATTAACAGTTTTGTTTGCCTCCACAAAATATCGCAATAAATATCGTACCGTGAGATGTGTATTGTGAAAATATGGTATCGAGATTTAGATATTATAACATCCCTAATTGTGAGCCTCCCCACCATATAGTGAGATTTCCCACGATATCACAATAAATATTGTACTATGAGGTTCATACCGTGACAATACTGTATTGCAACACTTGATCATTACACTCCTAGTAGATACTGTAACTGGAACAACGGTAATAAATTAAACCTATCTTCTTACATTTGCTCAATTACATTCATCCATCCATTCATTTTCTTCCACTTATCCGGGGCCGGGTCATGGGGGCAGCAGTCTAAGCAGACTGGAAGGGACTTCCAGACTTCCTTCACCCTGGACACTTCCTCCAGGGGGGTCCCCCGGGGCCTCTTTCCAGTGGGACATGTCCGGAACACCTCCTGGGAGGTGCCCAGGAGGGATCTGGAACAGATGCCTGAGCCATCTCAGCTGTGTCCTCTCGACGTCAATTACAGTAAAGGTTCTTATTGCTAAACCTTGATATACATGTGTTCTTTCAATGACGTCTCCACAGAGCTGACCTGTAACATGGTCTGTTGGCATCAGCTGCTTATCTCCAAGGAGACTGATGTGTTTATTGCCATATTGGGGAAGCAATAACATCTCCATGGAGACAAACATGTAGGGGACAAGAAAAGTTACACTGAGTATCTTTAATGCAGGAAAAATTTAAAACAAGATATTTCAAAATAAAAATATAAGTTTAAAGCTCTTATATTACACAAAATTTACTATTGTGATTTTTTAGCCATGTTAGAATGAAACCATACCTCGAGTTATGTTTTGTTTCATTCACATATGTTTGAGTAACCCTTTATTATTATTATTATCTTTGCACATTTAAAAATGCTCTGTTCCACCTCATGATGTCATGAAGCTGCCTTTTACCTTTTGTCGGACGAGACCAGGGGAGCGAGGTGTTGCAGCCCAAACTATGTGCCCGCTTACATAGTACAGGCTTTGTGAGAGGTTTATCTGTGAGGAGAGGGAAGGAGATAGAGAAAAAACACGAGCGGAGTTGTTAGGTTGGGTAGATAACTGGGACAATGGTTTTCTGTGGCATGTGTTTGTTTTGGTGGAGTGGAAGTCAGTAAAATTGTCCATGTGTAAGACGGATTAGTTGTGGACTTGATTAGTGGTTTTAAAATGTTGCAGAAAGGATGTGGTGTTATCTTGTAATCAGTTAACAGCATTTCACTTCAAACTATATAGATACAATAAGTATGTAGGCGCTATTGTTGTAATATACACATAGAAATCATAAACTGTATAAAGAAGTGGACTAAGGGAGTGTGACATGACTCATAGCGTTCGGCTCCAGTCAAATGAAGCTTACAGACTAGTTATGGGGCGAATTTAAATTAAAAGTACCTGGATCATGGCTTAATACGAACATTTTAAGACCAAAATGACAAAGCTCACTCCAGCAGTTGCAGAGAGAGGGGTGACAATTTTTCAGTGTAAAGTTGATTGGAGCCAGAGTCGATGGAGCTGGAAGTATGTCCATGTTCACTTCCTATTTGGAATACAGCTGCTACCGAGTTGCCCATTTATATATAGTCTGTTATTGAAACACAGTTGATGTTGGGTGAATAAATTGTCCAGCACCTCTGAAATCCATTCACTTTCATTTCATAATGTTATGTTGTACAAGTTAAAGCTCCACTATGTAACTTTTCTGGTAGAGGGTATGCTACCAGTAGCCTGATTCATCAGCAGGTTTCACTTCGTAGAAACCATCTGACCTCACAGCATTAGAATTTGTTCGCTCGACGGTAGGCTTTTTTATTTAAGCAATTGCTCCTATTTGGTTGTGATGTATGTAATGCACCAAATCCCGTAGGAAGAAGGACAATAATGTTTTTCCCCTTGATAAAATTCACCAAGCATTTTCTTTGTTCTGGCTTTAAATCCTCGATCTCGAATCGTTGCCAACACAGAATGTATGGCTTTGTTTACATCCATCTTGACCACTTTGTTTACTGTTGTGTTGTACCACAAAAGGGACCCAGACAGGTGCTTGAGTTTGACGTCATGGCTTCACAGCTCTTTGCTGATTTTCCAGTGCGCGGTTTACAACTTCCAGAGTTCTTGCAAATCATCTAGTGTATTCCAATTCCTGACCTAGTCATTGGAGAGAAATAAAATTAAGCTGAGGCACTAGGTGGCACCAGCCTGGCTCTGCTACCAGCTTGATGCTATTTCTTTGCCTGAAATGGTCCACAATATGGCATTAAACATAAATATCTTGCATTTACTCAATTAATGTTTTTGTATTACTACACAAATACCTTGATAAACATGTATTCTTTCAATGAGTGGGATCACCTCTGCAGATCTGACCTGTAACGGCCTGATGGCATCTACTGCTTGGGTTTA